GTGTGTGTGTGTCTGTGTGTGTATATGTGTGTGTCTGTGTCTGTGTATGTGTGTGTGTTTGTGCGCGTGTGTGTGTCTGTGTGTGTGTCTGTGTATGTGTGTATGTATGTGTGCGTGTGTGTGTGCGTGTGTGTGTGTCTGTCTGTGTGTGTATGTGTGCGTGTCTGTGTATGTGTGTGTGTGCGTGTGTGTGTGTCTGTGTGTCTGTGTGTGTCTGTGTGTCTGTGTGTGTGTCTGTGTGTGTCTGTGTGTGTGTCTGTGTGTGTGTGCGCATGTGTGTGTGTCTGTGTATGTGTGTGTCTGTGTATGTGTGTATTTGTGTGTGCGTGTGTGTGTGTGCGTGTGTGTGTGTGCATGTGTGTGTTTGTGGAGATAACAGTTGAACAAAGCGGATCACTAGATGCGCTCCTTAGTTTTCGGGAACAATTTAGCTGTTTGAGTATTGTGAGATAAGCTGCAGTTCACAGTTTAGTTTTCCAGCTGTGCATCTACTAACTATGACTATTAGTACGGGTTGCACCGTGTAGTAGGATTTTTGGTCAAATTTCTTAGATTTATTTGATTTGCTGATGGTTTCGATATGTCTCTGGTGCATGTTGAGCATCTCCTCCCTAGTCTTGCCACTGCTAAATCTCTGAGACCCATCTAAACAGTTAGAAATTTGTGATTCGAAGTCTCCTTGTATAGAGATAGGTGGATTCGCTGGTGGACGAAATACTCCAAAATCCGCTGAAATTATTTGCGACTGTGTTAATGTCAGGATTAGTTTTCCTTGAATTGTTGAAGATTTATTGTTTTAGACATATAAGGAACATATGGATGGGCAAAAACACAAGAAAAAGGAAGCACTGCAGAAAGGCGAGGGTCAGACATTGTCCAAATCGCGCATATCGTTCCGTTGTGAAACCTGCAATGTTACTTGTACTGGCAAAGATACATATGAATCGCATCTTCGTGGAAGTAAACATCAGAAGGTATGTGTGTGTGTTTTTTTTTCTTTCAGATTATGAGTTATCTGTTCTTTTAAAATTATGTTTGCGAGGGTTTTTTCACTTTTTTTATTTTTAGATTGTATCTTTTCATGTTTTCTGCGCCATTTTTTTTTTCAAAAAATGCATTGTAATTGAAGTCTGGATTAAAACCAAATCTAACTCATACCTCATTTCCTGTGGAATGGACTCAGAAATTTTTCGCATAATAACGCTTAGCGAGCTGCAGAAAATCACAAACAAAAGATGTCGGGTTACTTCCTTTTCCATGAATTAAAAGAGGTCTGATTCCCAGGCATGCGCCATTTTGGTAAAAAGGAGTTTTTTTTCTCCTCTGGTGGATTTAGGTAATTAATGTGGAATTAAAATTGGGCGCTGTTTGATCTTACGCTGGACCCGTCAGCTTTTTCCTGTGATACTTAAGTCAAAATTGCTGGAAAAGGGATGTGGACAACTTCACCCTCATTTTGTATTTTTTCAAAGTGTGTGTTTCAGACAGCAAATCTGATGAAGAAATTGGGTAAGCCGGTTCCCGAAACACCAACAGTACTTGCACCGGGCGAAAAATCGAATAAACCAGGTGCGCCAACAAATGGCAATCCGATCTCGACAGTTGGCGGTCCTGCTGTGCCAACTAAACGGGTAAATTTTACTCCTTTGGACCGTGGGATTTTTATTTTTCTCAAGGCTTTTTTGGGATTTTCTTTTCGGTGGAGGGACTGGGGTTTTGGGTTGAGTTCTGGGATTTTTACGTCAGTTTTTTGCGGGGACTGAGAGGAAAAGGGAGAAGGTGAGCAGTATATTTTGTCACGGTTTACTGTGTATGATTCCTTTTTATTTTGATACTAAGGAATTATAAACAGTAGTGATGAAATCCAAGGAATTCGATGAAATCCCAGTCGAAATTTTCGTCGTTTTCTTCTCTTCATTGGTGCAGCTGTTGGCAACGTCTTCCAGCTCCGCTTGTTTCTCAATTCGTCACATTCGGTGTGCCTTCTCATCTCGCTAGCGGCCTTCTCAGTTTTTGGCATTGCTTGGGTACCATTCAGCAGTTCTCTTGCTTGCCTTTCAGTTCATCTTCCTCACCGCCTACCTGTTAGCTCAGTTCTTCTTTCTGGTGTACGTTGCCCCGGTAGTTTTTTTTTCGTTGATTGGCATTTTGGTCATTGGAAATGTGTTGCGAGCTGGATATGGTGCTGTGCTGCGCTCCAAATTGCCGGTGAAAAGTGGTTGTATTTGTAGATTATCGGTGTACCAACTACGAAATTTGTTGCTGGTGAAAAGTTGCAAACAGATGCGCAAGAGCTGGCACAAAAAGCAGCGAATGCTGCCAGAGCAGCCTTTGAAGCGTCGGGTCTGGAAA